GTGAGCAAGAGCGAGACCCCGTCTCTACTTAAAAAGAAAGATATGAAGAGAAAATAATCGGCAAGACTAAAATTATATAGAAAAAAGTGAGCCGGGGGCATCGTGGGCGCAGCCTGTCAGTCCCCAACGTCGGGGTGAGGCTGAGGCAGGAGGATGTTGCGTGGCCCAGAGTCTGAGGTGGCTGTGGGAGCGGAGGCTGCGCCGAGCCGGCACTCGTAGTCCAGGCAGACAGGGAGACTCTGTCGCAAAAAAAAAGAAAATAAAGAATAGAAAAAAAAGAAGCAGGACAACCATTCGTAGCTCTCTGGGCTTGTTCGCGGTTGCAAAAATTCGTCCCCAGGGGATCGAGAACGAATTCTTGAGGACACAGCGCCTGAGTGAATTGCAGGAATTCCGCCTCCAGCAGAAGGAGTCTGTCGGAGTAACATCAAACAGGCGCCGGGCCAGTTTGGTTCTGTGTGGTGCCAGCGAGATTCCCAGAAAAGGCGACCAGTCCGTTTGGGAGCAAGCCAGGGAAGAAGCAGCAACTGGAGATATGCAGATGAGGAAGAGACACACTGCGCACCCAACGGCTGGGGGGAACGCAATTTAAAACTGGGGGGCGGTTAAAGCGTAACCGCGCGCTGGTTAAGATCGTGGAGGAAAAGAGCGTTTCCAACAGAGCTGGTAGAAAGATGCCAAAATCCTACCGTGGCCCTTCCAGAAACTGACGTTGATGCAGCGTAATAAAATTAAATGCATGCCTAAGCGCGGCGCGGTGGTCTCACGCGTCGATCCTAGGCACCTGGAGGGCCGAGGCGCAGGAGGAGTCGCTCAAGGATCAGAGTCTGAGACCAGCCTGAGGAAGAGGAGACCCGGTCCGACCTACAAATAGAGAAGAGAATTAATTGGACAGACTAAATATATAGAGAAGAAGGAGCCGGCGTGGTGGTGCATGGCTGTATTTCCAGCTACTCGGGAGGCTGAGGCGCAGGACGGATCAGCTTGAGCCCAGGAGTACTGAGTTGCTGGGAGGCGAGGCTGCACGCCACGGCACTCGGCTCTAGCCTGGGGCTACACGGTGGGACTCTCGTCTCAAAAAAAAAAAAAAATTAAATATTGTCCCAAACCCTGTTGGTCAGCAACCCTTGCTCAGGCTGGTCTTGAACTCCTGAGTTCAAGCAATCTGCCCGCCTCGGCCTCCCAGAGTGCTAAGATTACAGGCGTGAGCCACCGCGTCCAGCCTGGATATCTGCTTTTTAAAAGAAATACCAAGGCCGGGCGCGGTGGCTCGCGCCTGTCATCCCAGCACTCTGGGAGGCCGAGGCGGGAGGATTGCTCAAGGTCAGGAGTTCGAGACCAGCCTGAGCAAAAGCCAGACCCCATCTCTACTATAAATACAAAGAAATTAATTGGCCAACTAATATATATAAAAAAAATTAGCCGGGCATGGTGGCGCATGCCTGTAGTCCCAGCCACTCGGGAGGCTGAGGCAGGAGGATCGCTTGAGCCCAGGATTTTGAGGTTGCTGTGAGCGAGGCTGACGCCACGGCACTCACTCTAGCCCGGGCAACAGAGCGAGACTCTGTCCCCCAAAAAAACAAAAAACAAATCACAGCTCTGGAGGCTTCGAAGGGGTTTGGCGACGTTTATTAAGTGCCACTAGCGTTTCTGCAGCCGCGGGCGGGGCGTGTGCGCATGCGCAGAAGGCGGGCCACCTGCACCTGGCGCTGCGGGCCGCGCGGGGGGCGAGGACACTGGAGGCGGGAGAGCTGCGCGACGCGGGGAGTGCGTGGAGGGGGGTGTGCACACGTGATGTCGGGGCCCGGTGTGTGACACCGTGTCTGTGTGTGACGCCATCACTGCGCCTGTGGTGACGTCACTGCTACCTCTGCGCGCGGCAAGGCCGTGCCTGCGCGTGACGTCAACGCTGCACCTGTGTGGCGTCACTGCGGCCGGGGGTGATGTCCTTCCTCGCTGCGTCTGCGAGTAACGTGGCCGTGTCTGTCCGTGTGCGACGTCATCGCTGAGGCTTGCGTGACGTCATCGCCCCGTCTATGTGACGTCACCGCCGCGGCGGTGTGACGTCACCGCCGTGCATGGGGGGGGTCGCGGGGCGGGGCTGTGGCGGGAGTTACGCGGGGCGAGGGCGGCGGTCCGGCGGCGGCGGGAGGGACTGCGTCCGGCTCCGGGTGCGTCTGGCCGCGCGAGTCCGCAGACGGGCGAGTCCTGGCCTCCGCTCGGTCCTCAGGCCCGCGGCCTCCTCAGCCACTGGGGCGCGAAGGGGGCGGCAGCGAGACAGTCGGTCAGGCGGACGGACGGACGGACAAACCCCTCGGCCCGCGCCCGCCCTGGCCCGGGGAGGAGACCGAGCGCCCGCCCAGGATCAGAGGCAGAGACCCAGGGCCGGAGAGGCCCGACCTCGCCAGCGCCCAGCCTCCGCCCGGCCGGCCTGCGTGTCGTGCCGCTGCTTCCCGAGGTCCTGAAGACACGGAGGAGCTGCCCCCAGCCCTGCTCGCGCCGCCCCCACCTGCCCCCACTGGTCCCCAAGCTCGGGCCTCAGTCTCCCCCTTTTGTCTGCACAGAACTGGGCGGGGAACCTGCCCCCGCTCACACACCCTCCATGGCTCCCCAGGACGAAGCCCAGGCCTCGCGATCTGGCCTCCCCATCAGGGCCCCCCAACCCTCACGAAGCCCCAACAATTCCTGGGCCCTTCGCGTGAGCCTCCTGCCGGCTGGGGTGCCCCGCCCCTCGCGGCCTGGCGGCGTTCCCGAGGGGTCACGCTCGGCGCAGAGGCCGTTTCCTGCCCGGGGAGGAGGGGGCTGCGGCCAAGGCTCGCTTCCGCCGGGTCCTCTCCCTTCCTTCCCCCTCTTCCCTGGGGCCCGAGTGGCCTCTCGGTCCTCGGCTGGCTCCAGTCCCCGTCCCCGTCCTCACCCAGCTCCGGCCCTGGCTGCGGGGGCCACGCCTTCCCGCACCCCACTTTCCTGAGACAGGAGCCCCCTCGTCCCCATGTCTGTCGGGCACCAGTGGCCCGGGGGGCCTGTGGACGCCTGCGCTGGGCCGCGTCCTCCTCCACTCACGGCCCTCTCGGGGCTCCCCAAGTCCTCACGGCAGCCCCCGTTGCCGCCTGGCCCGCCCTGGTCACCTGCCTGCCAGGCCGCTGGCTGGCATTTGGCAGTCCTATTTTTCCCAGGGACGCGGGCGGTATGAGAAGGACCCACGTGGGTGATATTTCATAGGTGGCCGGACTCCCCACGCGCGTCACACATTGGCGCACACCGGACGGGACCTCCAGAGTCAGGCGGCTAGGTCTGCGTCTGCCCCCCAACCCCCGGGCCCCGTACCGGACGGCGAGCTCCACGCCGGGTCAGTGCCTGGCTGGGCACATGGATCGCGCAGGGGTCCCACCAGGAGCCTGGCTCACACTTGGCCATCCAGAAGGCTCCTGGAGAAAGGACTTCGGGAGTGGCACATAGTGAATAGAATAGTCGATTATTGACAGATCAAAGACAACGACGTATTCTGTCCTGTATAGCACGAGCACCATATGTAAGGCTGTGACCTTTTTGTCGAAATGGACACATCCAGTTGATCAGCTGGATCATGTAGAGACTTGCAACTTGTGAACTGGTTGCGGGGGGGGAGCTACAACTTGTTTGTCTATGAGGCAAATAGGGTGTAGTCCACGGAGTGTGTGAGCGGGTAGAGGCTCATTGAACACCATTGTACTTGAATGGGCAACAGAGTCTGGATTAGCTGAAGCAGCTCAACCCAGAGGATGATGGTATCTAGACTCCAAGTCAGGCTCCTGGGTCGGGGGGACTTGTTATGGTACCGGACTTGAGAATTTCCCGGGCCTGTCCAGCAGTACAGTACGGCCCAGGGTTCAGGACGCCCCCCGCTTCCTTGGGGCCTCTTGGCCCAGCCGTCTGGGCAGTCTGGCGGTGACCCCTGCCCGCCGGCGGGGCCCCAGCCAGTGTTTCTAGCAGCTGCCCGGCTCTCCCCCTTCCGCATCCCGGTTCGCTCCTTTTGTCCGCACGCTTCCTAAGCGTGGCCTGCACAGCTGGCTTCGTGACTCATCCTGCCTGCCGGCTCCGGACCGGGCTGGGCATCAAGGGGTGCGGGCGGCACAGCTTGAGGCTCTAAAAATTTTTAGCAGCTTTCCCGCACGGCCATTTGCTTAACGCCCTGGAGTTTTTACTTTAGGCCGTTGGGTCAGTGCCTGCCAGGGTTGGGTTAATTTTTTTTTTTTTTTTTGAGCAGAGTCTCGCTTTGTGCCCAGGCTAGAGTGAGTTGCATGCGTCAGCCATCGATCACACAACTCCACTCTGGTCAAGCGATCCTCCTGCCTCAGCCTCCCGAGTACTGGGACTACAGGAATGCACCCCCACAAGCCCAGCATGCCCAGCTCATTTGTCTATATCAAATGTAGTTGGACCAATTAATTCTTTCCTATTGTAGTAGTGACGGGTCCGCTCTTGCTCAGGCTGGTCCGATTCCTGATCTTGAGCGATTCCTCCCCGCCCCCCTCGGTCAGATGCTAGGATGAACGCGTGAGCCCCGCGCCCGCCCTGGGCATATTAATTTATTACGTGATGCCATATAGTTTCTGGAGGCCACCGGTAGGATTTGCATTTCTACCCAGTCCTGTTGGAAAACGCTCTTTTCTCCACATCTTCACCAGCAGCTGCGGTGTCAACGGCTTAACACCCAGTTTAAATTGTTCCCACCCCGAGCCGGTTGGGTGCAGTGGTTTTCCTTGCATTCCTCAGTTTTGTTTCCCTGGTTGCCTCCCCAAACGGACACTGGTGGCCTTCTCTGGAATCTCGTGGCACCACAAAAAACAACTGGCCCGGGCTTGTTTGTGATGTTACTCCGAGAACTCAATTGTGAGAGGAATTCCTGCAATTCACAGGCTGTAGTTTCCTCAGAAATTGTTCTCGATAACCTGGGGATTCTTTGCAAACCGAGAAACCAAAGCTACAAATGATGTCTGCTTCTTTTTTATTATTTATTTTTTTTTTGAGACAGAGTCTCACGTGTTGCCTGACAGGTGCTGTGCGTCAGCTCGCTCAACAGCAACCTCCATATCTGGGCTCAAGCGACTTCTCGCCTCCAGCCTCCCCCAAAGTAGCTTGGGACTACAGGCATCGTTTTGCTCCATTTTACCGACAAGAAGATAGCGCCGTGTCAGCAACTGGTTGCGAGGAGCAGTATATCTGGCACTGGTTTATTCCTTCACGCGCTGCCTCATCCTCCTTCTACATGCTGCGTCTCTTTTGTTATAGTGATCATATCCCGGTCTCGCTGTTGCGGTGCGCAGGCTGTGCCTAACCGAACTCGCGGTCGCAGCTACTCAACGACCGATGGTCTGCGCCGCGCATCGGGCCTGCGGGGGGCGAGAGTGCCCTAAGAAACAGCCACTGGCGTGTGCTGCCTCCACCACTTCCATACTCCTGCGAATGACTAGGGCAGTTCGTCTTGATACTGCCAGAAAAGTAAACCAAATGGCGCGTGGCCCCGGTTGGCGCGCATGTCGCGAACACACCCAATGCACACCTATCCTGGAGAGACAGGCTGGACTCCGCTCTGGGGATACCGTTCAAGGTCCCTTCGAGCTGCCTGAGATGAACCTATGAAAGCATTTACGTGTGAGCTGACCAAGATACAGACCCATTTCTACTTATAAATAAAAAATTAATTGCGAACTGAGATGAAATGGCAATAGGCGCGCCCGCACTGCCATACCATGGAGGCAGCGCATGTAGAAGAGGAGCGAGCAGTGGGCACTCGGAGCCTTTGGGCTGAAGATGGGAGAATGATGCCATGGCCGGGCCTGACTGAAGACCCAGGCCTGACCTCTGCCGACTTGGAAGGGCCCAGAGCCTCAGCCGTCACTACAGGGGTGTCTTCCTAGTTCTTGGTTTACGCCGGAGGACGGCCAGGGCCATCTCCCAACTCCCCAGGGGCCATTTTGTCTTGTGCGCCGCCCGATAGCCTGGTAGGCTAACACCAGCGCGCGTCGGAGGCTGCGGCAGAGGATCGGTGCTGGCCCCAAGCAGTTTCATGGCAGCGCGATGGATGGGCTCGCTCCGCGCTACTGCACGGTCAGCTACTGAGGCATTGCGAGACGCACGACTCCGACAATACAGTAAAAAACAACAAACAAATCACGAAGCTTCAGGAACTGGCGTGTTCGAATGGTTGGGTGTCAGGCGAAAGCTAAGAGTCATAGGTGCCAGTTAGCAGGTTCTGGCGCGCCGGTCTGCGCATAAGCCGTGCGCTTGGTAGCGCGACCTAGCTTAGCGGCCAGAAGCTGGCCAACGATGCTCCTCAGTGGCGCTGCGAGAGCCCGCGGGAGGGCTCAGGACTGCGTAGAAGTGCGGGAGAGTAGCAGTGCGCGACGCGGGTAAGGGTTGCAGGGGGGATTAGATGTGCACACGTGATGTCGGGCCTCGTGTGGGAGACGAGCGCGACACGACGCCGTAGAATGGTGGTGACGTTGACCATCAATCTTGCGCAGTGTGGGACTAACGAGGGGCGAGGGCACAAGTCTTGCGCTGCGAGGGCCCCTCACTCGCCAAGAGCCCTGCCTTCTTTGATATTTGTCGCCTGTGCCTATGAAGTACGTCAACGCATGCAGAACCTTTTGTGCTCTACTATTCAGCAGCCCCCGGGGGTGATGTCCATTCCCGCTGCGTCTGCGAGTAGTGGGCCGTGATCTGTCCGTGTCGACGTCATCGCCTTCCTTCCACCGAGGCCCGTGACGCACATCCGCCCCCGTCTGTGTGACGTCACCCATCGTCCACCCTTCCACGATACATACAGCAGCCCATCCATGCCGTTCGTCGATGGGGGTCCAGGGCCGGGTCGTGGACAGGTTTGTGAAACCGCCGGGCGAGTGCGGCGTCCCGGCGGCGGCGCGGACAGAGAGGGACTGCGCGTCCCGCGCGCCCGGATGACGTCTGGCCGCCAGCCAGAGTTGTTCAGCGACAAAGCGCGCCGTGCATCCCGCCCTGCGTCGCGGACACTCGGACTCCTCACTAGGCGCGCACGCAGACCTCATCCACATGCGGAGAGCCGGAAGGGCCGGCAGCGAGCAGACGAACTGTGCTGGCCAGTCAAGCTAAGCCGAGCGTGTCCTGCGCACAGACGGACCTTTCCGCGGACATAACCCCTCGGCCCGCGCCCCGCCAATCCGAGCTCCCGGCCCGGGAGGCCACCACGGCAACCCCGAGCGCATGAGCTGCCAGGTCAAGACTGAGACCAC